AGAGACAGTTATGCAAACCCTCGACTGCGTCTCGGGTTTGCATAAGTTTCAAGAATTCTCCAAAACCCCCAAATGCTTAGATGAGGCTATTTGAACACGCAAAGTACAAAAGTACCCTATTGCTTTTATAAAATATTTCTCAAGGATGCACGCGAATCTAAATTGTCACAATCATGTTTACATGCTATCATCTAGACACACCTATCGGCCAATGAGCGGACGCGTAGTATATAAGTTATTTTTATAAATATATATTTTATCATTCAAGCGAGAGAGCCGTACTGCGAGAATATCGGCCAAACGTCTTTAAAGTACGGACTGAGCGCAGCGAGGTCCGTACAAAAAGAACGAGGGGCAATATTTTCCCAGTACGGTCCCGAGTAACCTTGGTTACTGAGGGATTTATTACTCGACGGAAAATTTTTAGAAAAACACACCTGGAAAAACATCGCAAATTTCACGCGTAAAATTCTTATTGGGAGCCGACTAGGCTTATACTCACGCCTGAGTTCGAAGAAAAGGAAAAGAAATCTTATATGCCAAAGAAAGTTTTTCTCAGAAACGTATACGTTATAACATGACTGTCAAAAATTCTTCGACAGTGATCGCGCGGGATCATTAGGGAAAGCGCTTGGTCCAATTCTTAGAGAGTTTTTAGATAATTTAACACCGGAAATGGAGCAATCTGATCGTTTGATTTTACTCAATGGCCCTCCGAACTATCCTAAGTAAGATGTGCATACACGAGCTCTTTTCGACGCATGTTCATCCGTCAGTACACAGTTCAGCACTGACGACAAGCTGAAAGTTTCGGGGATCTTGCATGGAAAATTCTTGAGATGCAGGGCTACATCTTACTACCTCCTAAACAAAAGCCATCGGCATGTCAGTCCTCGTCATGAATCAGAGAGATTCTTTGGGTCTCCTGGTTTAAAACGAGACTAAGTGGAATAAACCTGCAAAGGATAGGCCAGCTTAGTCAGTAGAAAAATTCTGTTTGTTGCTGTTCTTCAGAGCATCCTGCCTTGGTATTCACATAGGCTGTTTGACCTTAACAAGTCATGTATTCTCGAAATTATTCAGTTTCAAACTTATAAGCTCAAACTAACTTAACTGAAGAGTTACAGGCAGTAAAAGAGTTCAAGAGGTTTTGGAAGGAGTTTTGATTTCTCTTCACTTTCAATCTCGTAGGAATGTGTTTTTGAAAAAAGATCCAATGATACTGGCTTGCGCGTGTTCTGGAATGGCGCGCTTCGCATCTACAACTGCAACTTTTGCTGTAAACGTTGGTACTTTACCTTTAATGATGCAGAATGTTATGCGCCCGAAGCCATTGACGGTATTGTCTTTATGAAAACCGGTGGACGGCCAAACGATGTCAAAAGTATCCACCGCGTCCGCCAGATTGAAGGAGTTTGTGAAACGGTCAGCAAGGGCACGGTACGCGTGGGATTCTGGGTCGGAAACTGTGATGGTTTCGGTGACGCTGACGCGTACACAGGATGGAAGTCAGTGTCCCGCATCTACGTGGAGGAGGTTCCGCCCCCGCAGCATTAAACTTTTTAATTTTGATCTGGCCAGCTTGTGTATTTTTTTCCGCGACAAGTTTTTTTAGGTTGATTAATTGATTTTCAACAATACCAAATATGTAATTCATACGTAGAACTGGACACTTCGCTGCATTACAGTTGTATATCATTACTTTCAGTTATGAAAATGAAAAATGTCAACGCTAAGCTGTTATTATAGGCTCGAAAATAATTGAAGTATGGTTGTTACCCATCTTCTTAGGTTAGATGTTTTAATCACTATTCTAGAAAAAAAAATGGTCTTTATGAACACTTTTACTTCTTCCATACTGATGAAAAGTTAAACTGCATGAAGTCTGAAGATAGTGGTTAATTTTTGGGGGCTAAAAAAATAAAGTAAACTGCTTTGAAAAATATCACGATCAGTCAAGATTTGTGTTTCACTGGTGGACTTTCCTTGCACGAATTGCGTAACTTTAACTTCCAACTCAGTAATGTCGTTTCTAAAAGGCCAGTTGTCTCATTGCGAAAAGAAAACGTCTTCTTTGCTAGGCTGTTTTCTAAAACTTTACGAAAATACTTAGTTCTCAATTCTCTACTCAGATTTTTGTTTTATATCAGTACGGTCTCAGTTGCCAGTAGCCCATTCTCACTCTCCACACGCATTTGTTTTGTGATCTACCTTCTTAATTTGAGTGGAATGATTTCTGTGAATGTATGCATTATATTCGACGGATGAATGAATGAATGAATGAATGATTGAATGAAAGACTTTATTTAAGTAATGTAGTATTTAACACGAATTGCGCCGTATGTCTCGGCACTCCTGAAAGTGCAAAATCTCCAGCAAGCCTACGCGATACATCACAAAGCCACTAAACTCCATCTACTTTCTGAACGGTTAAAACCATGCATTTATTGTTCGTGTGCTGACACAGGAGCCACAAGAGTATAAAACATAACTCATAGGAAGTACGCAGTGAGTCCCCACATTACCTTTAATGACCATAGTCACAGGAGGTAACAGCTGGAAGCAGCGCGGCTTAAATGTTCTCGAACAGTCAACAAACATCACATGGACAAAATTCGATGTGATAAACTTATCAATAGCCGTTTACTGTCATTCTGACATCAAAGTTTCACACAGATCCTTATATGATATCGCGAGTGGCCTCGGATCCTTAGCCGGTCAAAGCTTGCATTAAAAACCCCGCAACTTATATCTACCCATGTTATACCAGTTGTATTACCTCGTTATACATTATATAAACAATAGCCTCCATTTGTAGCGAAAATATGCTCGGATATTTTAGATATTTGTCCGCGGACATGATCTGTTCCCGAGAGGCGAGCAGTTTTCCGAGAGCGTAGCTCAAGGAAAACTGTCCGTTTCTCGAATTAGATCCCCAGTAATGTTCAAGGACAAATATCCAACTTTATTTACGTGCTAAATTGAGGCTGTTGTAGTTATTATCCTTCAATGTCTTTCGCAACACGCGTAGTTTTGAAAATTGGAGAATATTGACTCGGATATTGTTCAGCTTTTGCTGGGTTTTATTAGGGGTGGCGAATGGTCCTTTAAAAACCTTGGGTCTCGCAAAATTTTCGCTAAATTTCACAGGTCTCGCTGTTTCGTTTTTCTTAGCGGTTATGTGCGTCTCGCAGTCTCGTTTAATTTTTTTGTTCAAGGCTAGGAAAGTCGCGAAGTACCGACCGACTTGTTTATTTCTTTTATATAAGCTTAAATGACTTCTTCTTAGAACCTGAACGTCCCGAGCTCGCATTTAATTAAAACACTGAGAAGTCTCGATCTCGCAATTGAAGAAGTCAAAATGTCTCGGGCTCGAAAAGATAAATGCCAGTCTGGCCTTCTCGCAAAGTCTCACATTTACCATCCACCATCCCTTCTATTCAGTCACTTGACGCATTTAGACCAATCGCGCGCGAGCACAAATATTTGATGGACTATAACCCTAATTATACATTGGGCTACTTCAGCACATAGTTGCAGCAAGTCACTATTCTTTTCACGGTAAAAGTAGTCAGCTGCTAGTCCTTGAAGTACAGTCTGTATAACTGTTCAGGATTCTGGAGGGCTTTGGTTCTCCAGATTCGGTTCGCGATAACGCGGGTAAAATTAATATTACAAAATGACCCAAGAGGACAGGAAAAATCAATTCAGTTAGCGAGGGGTTCGAGTTGCCGAGGGTTCAAGTTACCGAAGTTAAAATTACATTACCGTAGCATTCCGATAGTAAAGACCCCGTTACGTTTGGATTTAGCAGGCGAAAGGGGCCGCTACTTTCGGGTAGTCGTCACTTTCGGCCAGTTAAAAAAAGTTTGCACGATAATTCACAGTCGTTTCAGACAAAGCGGACGCGTAAAACATGAAATTAAAAGTCCCATTTATGTATGTTACTAACTACCCACATAAACAATGTAGCTGGTATAAACAAAAAATGCCTTTAATGTTGGTACTGTAGGGCAAAAGTATAATAGTTGCATTACATCGCAATGCAACTGGCTGAACTGATTACAATATATCATTTGACTCTGCTCCCAGACAAATACAGCTTATACATCATAGTTTCAAGAAAAAAATTAGTTGAGTTCTGAATAAAATCACTAATAATACACGTAACTCTTCAAGTTGATCAGTTCTGCAGTCACGCTGTTCCATCCGCATTGCATTTGACGTTAAATAGTTTCTCTTGTAGTGTCTTCTACTTTCAGGGGGATAGCTACTTTCGGGAATCGATAGGAAAATAATAATAATAAAAAATAACTTTTGGGAAAGCGTTGTTGTCGGGGGAGGAGGACTTTTCATGTACTTGCAGAATATTTAAGACCGAACAGTATCATGACTATGTGACTTTGCGTGACTCGAGAATATCTTCCAAGTCACGCGAGCAGGCTGACTTGTAGATTATAGCTTTTTCATCATTTTGTGACACTGAAGACACGACTGCTCCGACACCTGATGAGTCGTCAGCTCTAAAGGGATGAAACCACACTTGCTGTAAAATTCAACAGCATTCAGAGAAGATTGCACAATCAAGCAATCTGCCGAGCAATCTCTTGCTCTCTCCTCCATCTCTTTCATAAGTGCCGATCCCACACCTTTCACACCGCAATCAGGGTCAACGAAGAGTCCTCTAATCTGCATAGTTTTCCCGTCAGATTCTTTGCAATCCAGCAGATGGCCAAATCCGACAACTTTTCCCAGTTTTTCAGCTACCACTATTTCCTTCGCTGCTATGGAGGGAAGGTACTTTGCTTTGTTTTGCCTTGCAACCCAAACATCTACGTCCTCTGTGCCGTAGTGAGAGGAGCACTTTTTCCTGATGGCTTCTGTGTGGATGTTGTAGATGTCATCCACGTCTCCTTCGATGGCTTTACGAATAGTCAAGTCGTCCACCATTTTGTTTTTGCGTCCGCGAGTACGGAGAGAAGTAATCAGCGGTAAAGAAATCCCATAATGCACTTCAGGTTTGAAATTAAGATGGCCGACATGTGGGTTTCATTCGATGCAACTAAAACGTCAGATAGAATGTAAATTTTGAGGACAAATTGAGATGCTGTGGAATTTTTAGACACGCTCTTTCGTGGTGAAGGATTGGTGTCGTTTGGAAGGATATTTTCAGGTGGGGTATCCATCCAAAAGGTTGAGCATGTCGGAGTTAACGACGTGGGTTTCTGATAAGTTGCACGATGTTCTTGGTTTCTCTGACAAATACACGACGGAATACCTCATCGGACTCGCTAGGAACTCCGCAAGCCCCGAATCCATGGTGCAGCGAGTATCAGAAGGTTTAAATGTGGATAGTAAGATGGAAGCCTTCGCTGCGGAGCTGTGGTCTAAAATGCCTCGCAAGACTCAGTCAGCCGAACATCCGTATCGAGCAAAAGAAAGAGCTCTGATTGAGCAGAGACAGAAATTTACGGGCTATACTTTGGTTTCTGATGACGATGACGACGAAGAACAACTGATCCGAGCTAAGGAATCTAAGAAGAACACGAAACGGAAACATCTGCGAAGGAAAACAGAATCGTCTAGCTCGGATGAAGATTCTCCTGGTGGCGTTACAGGTGCGCCGAAGGAGACTCCAAACGAGTCTGACTCTGATGAGTGGGAAAAGGAAGAAGAGGAAAGAAGGAAAGACTTACAGGAGAGGGACGCCTTTGCTGATAGATTGAAGCAACGGGATAAGGAGAAGACAAGGAGTATCATGGAGAGATCAGACAAAAAGGTCAGCTAATTCAGTTGCTTACTTGTCTGGACAGTGTAAAAGATAGACTGTGGACTGTGGACTGTGGACTGCGGACTGCAGACTGCAGACTAGGGGTAAAATGCAGTCTGAGGGTAAAACGCAAACTGCAGACCAGGGGTATAATGTAGACTTTTTAACTGAATCGTGTTACCATTTCCATCATTGAGAGCTACCCCTGAACCGGCTAACCAAAGTACATGTATTGTTCAGGCTAACTGGAGTGCAGACTCTGACTGTGATAAGCCCAAATAACCCTGTTTATGATTAACACTCAATGATGGAAACAACATGAGAAATTATCCCTTAAAGGTCTGTAGTCTGCGCTCTGCATTTTACCTTCAGTCTGCATTTTAAAATACCTCCAGTCTGCCGTCTGCAGTCTGCATTTTACATTGACCATTTACCTACAACACTAGGGTCAATTTCTGCCGTGCTTTCATGTCTGGTCTACGTTCCTCCCTGAGAAGAATGGCTGGATGCGTATGTATACTCATACTTTACAGTACCGCTCAAAAGTAAGTTACCACCGTCTCGCGAGACGAGTCTCGTTTCTCGCGAGTGCACTGGAAGTACCAATGCTACGCATTCGTCGGTATTCGAAACCTGTTTTGTTAATAAGACGTCTGTATCGTATCGTATCGATTAGCGTGGTAGACACGATTTTCATTCTCATCAGCAATGCGTGTGTACCATGTGTTTATTATAAATTCTCAAGTGTCCAGTATTGTTTCATATACATTGGCCAAACCTTTTTTTATTCCAGCCAGACTTGCTTAACGTTTAGTTTTTGTAAATACATTCACGATAAAAGTTGTGGAGTTTTGTCACCCGATCTACGTGTGGGAAGTTAAAGCAGCGATCGAGATCACCAAGTCAACACANGTATTCGAAACCTGTTTTGTTAATAAGACGTCTGTATCATATCGTATCGATTAGCGCGGTAGACACGATTATCATTCTCATCAGCAATGCGTGTGTACCATGTGTTTATTATAAATTCTCAAGCGTCCAGTATTGTTTCATATACATTGGCCAAACCTTTTTCTATTCCAGCCAGACTTGCTTAACGTTTAGTTTTTGTAAATACATACACGATAAAAGTTGAAGGTATGTGAATCGTCGGCAAGTTAATCACTCGTGTTTACAAATATGTTTTACAGTTGTATTAATTCTGTTGCTTGTATAGATATTAAAAAAAAAAGTTTGTTCGCAACCCTAAACCTGATTCATACAGTTGATAATCAAAATGTAGTGTTCATGAAACAACATGTGGAGTTTTGTCACCCCATCTACGTGTTGGAGGTTAAAGCAGCGATCGCGATCACTAAGTCAACACAACAGTGCCGCCTAGGTTTTGCCAACTATCGCTCCCAACTGATTTGTCGGGAAACTCGACGAACTTTTTATCCAAAGATTGCGAACATACTAAACCACGCTTTGATCATGAAACCTCGACTAACTTTTTATTCATACTCGTAAAAATGCTAAACCACGTTTTGATCATGAAACCTCGACTAACTTTTTATTCATACTCGTAAACATGCTAAACCACGCTTTGATCATGAAACCTCGACTAACTTTTTATTCATACTCGTAAACATGCTAAACCACGCTTTGATTATGAAACCTCGACTGACTTTTTATTCACAGTTTACACCCAAACGTTTCTTCTCGGTACTCTAGATGAAAACTTATCACGTGTTGCTAGGGACGCGACCGTAATTGCGAATGTCAACAATATGCGCTTCAACTTTTTGAAATAAACTTTTTCTGGGTGTTTTGAATGTAAATATAGTATGATTTTTGTGAATGTATCATGAAACTTAGCTGATAAACTGATCTCAAACATGATACATTTATTGTTGATCACGACTTTTTTAGGAGTGGTGGCTCCTAAAGGAGCCGTTTTGTTGTTAAAGTGTAATGGTCGACGATGACAGGATTTTCTCTAGGTTAGCTCTGAAAAGAGCTGTTGTTAATGCCCAGATGCACGGCCTTCTCGCTGAACTACCAATGGCACAACCTTCTGTAAATGGTCGATGTACGTCGAGCACTTCTCTGCCGTCATTCTTTCTTGCCAAAATCGCGTTATTCCGCCGAGAAGCTCGTCCTTCGTTGTGGGCTTTACGTTGGTGCGAAGGAAGTGTTTAAGTTCATGCCAGATAAGCTCGATAGGGTTCAGGTCTGGGCTCTCCGGGGGGGTCTTCCACCAGTTGATTCCACTCCGATCCATGAAGTCTTGTGCTAGACGGCTTGTGTGCTTAGGGTCGTTGTCTTGCTGGAAGCGATGACCATCAGGAAATCGAGACTGAATGAAGGGCAGAAGGGTCTTTTCCAAGATTTCGTTGACATAAAACGTCGCATCCATGTTCCCAGAGAAGATTAGAACTCTAGTCGGTCCTCTTTTCGAGATACCGGCCCAGATGTGTACTTTGAAAGGATGCTTGGCTCGTCCTTTCAGCTTCGGCTGCTCCCACCTGCGACGGAAGCATAGCTTGGCGTGCTTTTCCATATGAACGGAACATTCATCTGTGAAGATGACATCATCGAACTGCTCGTTGTCTTCCACACACTTCAGACAGAACTCCAGTCGTTTGGCGCGGTTCGTCTCGCGTATCAGCTGGCAGTATTTCGTGCCAGTCTGAACCCACCCGAGCTTCTGCCTCAGCCTCTTCACCTTGCTCTCAGAGAAGTCGACGCCGAACTGTTCCTGGAGCTTTTTGCCAAGCTTCGGTGCTGTGAGTTCGTCATTCTTCTCCATTTCAGCATCAATAAAGTTCAATACTTCTGGCGTGACATTTTTATTTGGACGACCTGGTAGAGGGGCATTAAAATGGAGGAAAGAAGGTAACTTGAAATTTCAATGGTTTTTAGAGTCAACATTTTCTAGGGAGACAGCATAGCATAGCCCGAAGAGTTTCGAAGTTAACAACGTAACTATTCGCGAATAACACAGATTTAGAGAAGCTTCCCGGTCATTTTTGTTTTCTTATATTTCTATTTTATTGGGTTTGATAGGATGAATGTCAGGTACTTCTGACAGTAGCACCTGTAGAGCCGGAGAAAGAACAGTCCGAAACCGTGCCACCCGCGTTGTGTAACACTAACAACAATGTGAGTGGGGAGAAGGATGTCGGCAATAAGGTAACTTGACAAAGTAAACATTGATAATTAAGCAAGTTGAGATGTCAATGCTTGGATGGTTTGGTATCGCTCCACTAAGATCCACAATGAAATGTATATATATTGTATCTTCTATTGGGATTGCAAACGTTTTGCGACAGCGCTTACATGTGGTATAACCTGAAGTTTTCAAAGTCAACAACCTTGTTAACAAAATTTGAAATGTTCACTTTTAGAGAAGCTTCCCGGTCCTTTTTTTCTTATAGTTCTATTTTACTGATTTTGATAGGATGAATGTCAGGTACTTCTGACGGAAGAACCGGCTAAGTAAAACAGTCGGAAACGCTTACAAAAACATTGATAATTAAGCGAGTTGATATGTCAAATGATGTCATTTGACATCAGATAATTAAGCGAGTTGAGATGTCAGATGTTAAATCCAACAATCTTGAATGGTTACTTATCTTGTTCACTTATTTTTTTCTAACCTTTTCAATAAGAACATTGACCCTGTGATTATTAGCCAGACAGGTCTCTTATTCCCTGTACTTATTATTGTCTTTTTCATTTGTCTTTTATAGGATGAACCTCAAGAGTCTGCACCTCCCGCCTCACCAGAAATGGTTGCGTCTTCAACGCCAAAGCCGCCTACAAAGCCAAGACGATTGTATCAGGACCAGTTGAGCTTCCTTGATGACCTTCTCGAAAAGAGAGAAGACGTTTCTATACACGAAAAACTCGACATAATTATTGAAAACCAGAAAGCATTTTTTAAGTTTATGGCTGATGTAATGAGGGGAGGGTTTGTAGGTACACATGTACGTAATGACGTTAATCGGGGTTTAGGGCATGTGCCAAATATGGAGGGAGAATCAAATGTTTCGGAAGGGAGAGACAGGGCATCAAGTGTTTCAGTGGGGAGGGACGGGGGGTCAAACGTTTCAGCANGCGGCAATCGTTACCCGTAACCGGTTTCTTACGCGTAATATACGCCATACTAAACGCTTCAGTGATTCTCTAGAGAAATGAGAAACGTCTCGAGAGAAACGAGACTCGTCTCGCGAGAAACGAGACGAGAGGTGGTAACTTACTTTTGAGCGGTACTGTAATTCATGGAGCAATCCTGGTTGCTGGAAATGTCATCTGATTACAACCTGAACAGGCCCAAATGACACCTACAGTACAGCTCGAAACATTTGTACATTTTCTGTTCTCTTTTTAAAGATTTTGTTCAATTCTTCCAACCTATTTTGTTTCACATTACTGCTGTGGAAAGGCACTATATACATAGATACTGTGTTCTTAGGAAGCAGCACTGCTCGACTACAGTGTAGCAAACTGGTCATATCAAAGGTCACATGTTTGTCTGCATAGTTTCTGCTGTTAAGTTGACATCCTGTAAATTGCCATTTAAGTTTTGCTAGTTAGGTTTTGCTTTACGCATGCTTTGGCTGATTTAAAAATTTAATTTTGCCTGGCTCCAGAGACTGGAATCACCATCCTTAAAGAAGGTAATACATTGACTGACTACAGTGTATTTTGTTTCTGGAGCCCAATGTTTACATGTACAGCTGTAGGTTTATCGCTCTCTTTGTTGACTTTGTTATCTGATGTTCCAGAACTCAAGATTCAAATTTTCCTTATCCTCTTGGTTGAATAAGGAACACATCTTGGCCATTGACCAACTTCTAGCATTTTAAGCTTTGGATCTTAAACGTCTCTAAAGTTCTCTCCCATAACATTTATCAATTCCACACTGTCCACCATCCAGGGCCACCACCAAACTGATGAGATTTAATTTATGCCTGACAAAAATCTGTGGGCGGTTATCTGATTGGCTAAGACTAACAAAAGAATCCTCATGCATCCAGCTGTGGCTCTGAAGGAGGATCTTTGGCAGGTCTTTAGAAGCTGTGTAGTGAATGTTCATGCGGCATGGTTTCTTTACAAAGGTGAAATAAGGTGAAAAATACTGGATGACACTGTCAATCAAGTTTTGTTTGCTACATGTACATGTATGTACTTTTGTACGTGTAGTCTCATTTTATGTTTTCAAATGAAATTGAGGTTCTAATTAATGAGCCCAATCTTGATAGTCGAGAGTTGCAATAATCGAATGTTCACTCCTCTATTCTAAATGTTATCTCATGGAAGATTTGCCAAGATCAAAAAACAGAAACAAAAAACAAAGCGAAACAAAAACTGTGAGGGTTGACTGTATATTGCACAATTTCATGTTCATGTGGATGACGTGTTTCACTGAAACTCAGTTCCAAAATCTCATCCCGCCCCCAAATTCCTACATGTACCTCCCCAATTCCTATCCCCCAATTTCCATCCCCTGTTCCAATTACTTTCCTCTTCTCCTTTTCCTAAGACAAAAGAGGGAGATCCGCATAATGTACATAGTAAATATTCTCACCAAATAATGTATTTTCTAACCCAAAGGCATTTGAAGAGGCAGCAAAAAGACTTAAATTGGATGAGGAGGATAGAAAGAAAATGGTAAGCAAGGCTGCAACTGTCAGTAGTATATGTAATTTTTGCATGCATATTTTTATTATTATGGAACAATCGCTGCCACCTCATTACATGTGTAATGGCCACTTTATTCTGGCCCGAACAAAGTTCAGTCTGTCATTTTTTATTTAAAGGACTCCTAATGTAGCCTGTTGGTGACCAGATTAACAGGGTTGTACTGTACTTGTTTGCGCAAGGATAGAAGGCAAATTTTATGCAGCACTTTCTTGAAATAAGATTTGAAGTAGATGGCAGCCCTGGCACAGCACCCATCAGAAAGTAATACATGTACAAGAGGCCTGTAGCAACATCCTTGCGAGGGAAGATGTTGAAAAACTGCCAATGTTTTGGCCACTAAGAATTCACAACAGAATACATGTACACGTACCTGCTGGAGCTCCAGCGACAACCAGGCCTTATTGAAAGGACTGTTACCGGTACTACAGAGATTTAGCTTAGTGTAATTAAAATCAATGCTCTGTTTTATTTTTAAACAAGCACAGTGTAACAGGTTATCTTCGATTCCATTTTCAGATTCCTGATCTAAGGAAAAAGTCTCGTCGAGATTATGTCAAAAAACGAAGAGTTGACAAGGTGGAAATGTTGCAGGAAGATATTCGAGATGATGAGTATTTGTTTGAAGACAGTCAGCTCAGCAAGAGAGAAAAACAGGATAGAGAATACAAGAAGAAAGTTTTCCGTTTGGCTGTGGAACATGCTAAGGCTGGAGAACTGGAGAAGGTGCAGCGATATGAAATGCCACAGGAAAATCAGAAGCCTGCGAAGTATGATGAAATGGAAGTGGAGGAATTGGGGCCTAATTATGAGCAGAAGAAATGGGAGGAAGATAAACTTGGTTATGCTGTCATGAAATTTGGTGCTAAAGATGCTAAAGACAAAAACAAGGTACGTACATTAATGTACCTGTACATGTCAAAATGGATTCCATGGTGGCAGTAGGAATGTTCATACAGCTCAACTCCTCTGTGTTTCTATGACTATGCAATTCACTAATGCAATCTGGCTTTTTTACCAGATCATAAACATTTAACTGATTTAAGGGTTGTTGCTATGGTTACCTTCACCCGTCACTTAAAGTAGTACGGTGTTGTCTGTTGTATTGAATACTGTATGTGAAAGCAACATAAGTTTTGAAATGAAGGAAACATTTTTAGCTCATCATCAAAATTTTGAAATATTATTTTTTCATGATTATAATGCACACCACTTTATGACATGTATCACATAGATAAAGACAGACTAGAAAATAAATGTAAGCAAATTGTAATGCAGAAATCTGTTAGGACTAAAACATAGAGCCATTTATAACGCAGGAGAAATCTTAAGTAAAATGTAGAGCCATAGAAGTGTAGAGTTTGTAATGCAGTTGAACTCACGATTGAAATGTAGAGCCGTAAAAGGGGATAATTTGTATGTACAGTACATGAAGTCATGAGTAAAATGTAGAGCCGTAGAAACGTACATTTATTTTATATTGGACTACAGATTGTGAAATGGTTTTGCATGTATTTGCGTTATTTTAGAACAAGGACTATGATCTGGTTGTGGATGAAGACCAAATAAATTTTGTAATGGCTGAGCAGATTCCAGGGACAAAGGAGAAACAGGTAAGATTACAGCTTCAAGAGTACTAAAATCTGTGTACATGAACAAGATTAAATTGCCTAATCTGTTACCTGTATAATAACATACGTAGTCATTCTGTGTCAAAAAATTGAACTCTCTACTGTTTCTATGGAGTTAAGTACTAGGTACATGTACCTGTAAAGATGCAAAGCACTCTATGATTACGTGGCAAAGAAAGTCTGTATACAAGTCATCAGACCAGTTCTTATCCCGATTTCTGTAGCATGAAGCGTCTAAGAGTAATTCTTCTCCCTCCAGCCCTGGATGGGATGCTAGTCCATCGCAGGGTTACCTCCAGCATTAAGTTTGCCGATACCCATTTATACAGCTGGGTGGAGAGAGGCACTGTGAGAGTTACATGTAAGTGCCTTACCCAAGAACACAACCCAATGTCCCTGGCCAGGACTCAAACCCAGACTGCTCAATCTGGAGGAGGAAGCACTTAAACCATGAGGCCAATGCACCTCCACTGATTTGGCAAATACAAAGTTATTTTTCTTAATGATTAGGGGAACCTGATTGTTTCTAAATGCCAGTTCTTTCATGTACTGTAGTTCTGGATTCTGGAGCATTCTAACTGTTGGTTTTTTCAACAATTTCAGGAACCTGAAATGAATGAATACAAGAAGAAGAGATTAACAATCGAGGAGGTAAGCTATCTGACTGGATAAATTATTGTTGATATTAAACAAACAAAGTTTTAAGAGTTTTATAAGCTTTTGCCCGCTAATTAAAAGTGATTTGTAACTTGCAATAGAAAACATGTGAGTGAACTAATATTCTCCAATGAAATAAATTAGATTATTTTAGAGCAATTTAAGGTCATTCCACTGAAATAGAACCTGCACTGAGATTTTTGTGAAACTTTGCCTATTGATTGTTTGTATTATYGGAACTTAAATTTTGAAATAAAAATGAGGGGTCCCCATGTTCGTTTAGGAGCAACAGCACCTTGTTTATACCCATATAAATCCTTATAATAGCATCATGATTGTAGTCACGATTGCTTGCTAAATTCACATTTCCGACGATTGCTTTTTGTCCTACACTGAGAATTGGTCCATATTTATTTTACACAGAGAAATTTATTACTCAGTTCAAAACAGCAGAAAAAAAATGATAGGTCACCATACTCGTTTACGTGAAAATGACAATTTACCTCTATGGCGAGGTCCAGCTGTAAACAAAAAGCCGCCATTTTTTAATGTGCGCCCGCTAATCACGTGTGAAATTATGTGCAAAAGGGATGCGTGATGCAATACTGGGGAATGACCTTAATTTGCACATTTTGAAAAGATTACATAATTATATAAATTTACATTTGACTGACCAAATGCAGTTTAGAGAATGTGTTGTTCCAGAAAATATCCCTACCTCTCCCATAAAGGGATTTTTGGTTTAAAAACCCCATCTCACTGGAAGTTCCAGTTTTGGTTCATGAACATGTATTCTTGCGATCTGACTGAGAGGCACAGCTGTGGCAAGATGTTCTAAGGAAGATATTAGTCTTGTTCAGCCTAAGCCAGGAACCTGATCAGTGATGTGCCAAGTTTCTACTAGAAGCTAGAGTGTCGCAAAATTGTTTGTGGCAAAAACACATTTTTAATGGTAAAATCTTGCCAGAAAAATATATTAGCAAAAATGTTTTATTGTGAAACCATTTACCCTTTCAGTTTCTGTTTCTGGTGTGCCTACATTGGAAAATGTGGTTGAAGTATTTGATATACATTTAATTTACTAGTGTACTGTTTTGTCGTTTGCAGACTAAAAAAAGCTTACCAGTTTACCCATACAAAGAAAGTCTCATTGAAGCCATCAGAGAGCATCAGGTAGAGAATATAAGGAACAGCCCTGAAGGAGGGAGGTAGTTGCTATAATTGAATACCTGGGGAAGCTCTGAACAAAAGGGCTACCTTTTCTGGTTGAAAGTGTATATTAAAAGGGTAAGGATTACTCAAGTTGACACACAGAAAAGAATAGGGAAAGCTGTTGATTTACCTTGCAAAATATCTTGAACCGAAGAAAGAAACAGCTGATTCATCTACATTGTATTACATGTACATGTATCTGCTGTGAGCAGTTACACAATTAAAGGTGCAGTGGGTAAGAGATACAGTATTTTTGCTGTACGTTTGTGGAAGAGATATAACATTTTCTCGGGAAAGTACATGTATGAAATGCGTTACCGTTTCTGTCAGGACTGTTATTAATTACAGTTTAGAGGTACATGTAAGATCTTGGGCTTCAGGCATAGTCTTCCTGTAGAAATCTTTCTTGATTTATGTGAATGTAATAATTTGCTGAAAGGTTGCATCTGTTCTGCTCTGCCCAATGAGGTCTGGTGTTTGAACATCTTGCTATAAAAACATATTTTGACAAAATCTTGCAGAATTTTGTCCGATTTGACTACATTTGTTGTACAGCCTTGTTGGTTAAGTTTGTGTATCAGGGAATATTTGGTGCAATTGTGCAACTTAATTGGTTAGACGAACTTTATCATGCTAGTCTGATTTACGAGACTGTACATGGATGTGTATTCCATGACTCAGCAAAACATCTGAAACTACATGTAACTGTGAAAAACTTGTTTACTCAATCAATTGCAGGTGCTTATAATCGAAGGTGAGACAGGATCGGGAAAAACTACACAAATACCACAATATCTACATGAAGCGGTATGTACAGACGTACAATATACATGTTATACAGTCGAACCTGTATATAACGGCCACCCTCGGGACTAGCTGAGGTGGCCACCTAATACAGGTAACAAATACAGCATTTATATGAGCGAAAAATCAGGACTTTGAAAACTGGCCGCTTATTAGAGGGTGACCGCTTAATAGAGGGCTGTTATACACAGGTTTGACTGTACTACTATGGCTGTAGTCACAAATTCTCAGTCCCGATGAAAGCTAGATCTGGAGGGTAATTTTTTACCCTTTCACTCAAGTCCACTTAAAGCAGCTACATGTTCATCACGGTTTCCGCATCTTGAAAAGTTTAGCCTGAATTTTTCAAGTTCGTCATTTCCAATCCGCGTTAATTTTCTCCACCCTTAAACCATCCTTGTTCCTTTATGGTTTAGTATTATTATTTCTTTGATGACTTTTTCTATCTCAGTAAACTACTACTTTCAGGTCTCCTTCAGTTGAAGGGAAATTTTGTACGTGGCCAAAATAAATCAAAATGCAGTGACTAAGCTCCTTTAAGGTGGCTGAGATAGTATGCAGCTGTTTCCATCGCTTGCACTTTGATGTATCAACACTACCACACAATCATTGTCATATGGTCCTAGAATAATGGTATCACACAAATGTCCAACCTTTGGTAAACAAGTTGTACTCGTCCTTTTTTTATAACAGGTTACCATAGCAATGCTACAACTTGTTAAAACACCCTTAATCTTAGCTGGGACTTATACACGGTAACTCAAAAACGAGCTTTGTGACCCCAATTTTTTTTATCATCGAATTGTAATAAGTATGGTAAAGTGCAACTTTTCTTTAAGTTTTTAAAAAAAAAAAAAAATATGTGGAGGGGTTCAGAGCCACCGAAAATTGTCGAAAAATTTAAGGGGGCTCTGAATCCCCTTCTCCCGTGTGTGAAACTCGAGCGCCTGTCGTTCCATCTGAGAAGTTTGTTCTGTAAACAATGATCTTATGATGTTTAGCCACTGAAATTCTATTAAATTTATATAATGTAAGTACAGTGTGTTGGTGTTAATTATTTCAAGGTGATCTTAGCAATACTCTGTTATTTCAGGGTTTTACCAAAGGTAAGATGAAAATTGGATGTACACAGCCTCGGCGTGTTGCAGCAATGAGTGTAGCGGCAAGAGTGTCTGAAGAGATGGGCACAAAATTAGGAAACGAGGTGAGTGGAAAAGAAGATAATTCACATATTGATGAAATTCTCATTGCTTTTTCATGTACATGTATTAGATTACGGTTAGTGATTGCTCCTTCAGAAAGTGTCATGCTAAATTTCATACCAATTTCATGGGTCTGACTAGCTCTGTTTTGTTAACCTCTTCCAGGCGCTCAGTTACAGTGCAGTTGCGGCGCAGCGCGAAATAAAGGAGAGAGAGTGCGCCATTTTTCGCGCTGCGCACCAACTAACTAACTGAACGTCTGGAAGACGCTAAGATTTTATTTGCGACGCGATCTTGAACTCTCGAGTTCCTGGCTTCCCGAAAAGATATGTCTCACCGCCTCGCCAAGGCTCAAATTAATTATTTATCATCCCTGAAGTAGTGTGTAGCTTTTAAAGGCGACGTCAATAAGATGACTATATGGACAATTTGTTAGAATTATACTCTTCCAATGAGAAGTATAGGCTGAATTAGTGAACGATAGTTTGACACAATATGCAGCAGCCTTGGTATTTTTGGGATGAAATCTATACTACTTAAATATATATATATTTTTTTCGTTTGGCAATGAAAATCAACCAATGAGCACAAGAGAATTGTGGCAGTTGTTGTTGCAGTCTTTTCTTGATAGTCATTCAAGACCTCAAGTAAAGATAATGGAAATAATTCTTCTGGACTTTCAGTGCATACATGTACTTCAGCTTTCTTCAAGTCGTTCTTAACCAAATACTTACTGACTTTGAGAACTAGATGACATCCTTTAGGCTTCCCTAGGACATCGCAAGGAGTTATAAAGCTTGTACACTAATTCGTACATTAGCGTTTCTATGTTCGCATTTAGAACATATTTTAATTTGTTTTTCAGGTTGGATACAGCATCCGATTTGAGGACTGCTGTTCAGAGCGCACTATAATAAAGGTGAGTTGTTGACATAACGGCCACTGTATTTTGTGACAGATGTGTTAGCCGGTTCCAGGCCCTCGGTATGTTGGGGACGAGCAAGAAATCGGGCAAAAGGGAAAGAGGCAAGCGCGGGGATGAGGGGAATCTGGGAAGAATAAGAGAGAGCCCTTCTCGCCCCAAACCTCTCCCGTTTTTCCACTCGTTCTTTGCGTGAATCCCGTTGTTTACGCAGCTCTTCAGCTACTAACTGAACTGTTGGAACCGGTTACGGCTGTGCACTTTGTAGTTTCTAGTGAGAATTTATATCCAAATATCGGGTAGGAAGGGCTTGCTCACTTTACATGGCTTTCTTTATTGATCTCTTTCAAGTACATCTTAATCTTGTAAGTATTCTTTCCGGGAGTTGAGTTGTACATTTTACCTGTAACTAATTTGTTCCTTTCCTCCAACAGTACATGACTGATGGAATGCTTCTACGTGAGTTCTTAAGTGAACCTGATCTTGCTGGATATAGGTTTGTTTTAAAATTGTGGGCATCTTGCTGGCTAATCTTATAGTGCTTGCAACTGTGTTTTATTTTGGTTTTTGATATTGTTATTGCATGTCTCTGGTAGCAAGTTTGCAGTGCCTTTCGATATAATTAAAAGGTTCAAGTGTGTTGTCACTGTATGTTTCTGAGCTTTGAACAACTTACTTTTGTGAGTATCTTGCGCTTTTCACTCATTGCTGTGTCTCCTGCAATGTTTCTCGCGCTTTTTACCCACTGCCGGTTTTTAGTTTACTTTGCGTTTTCCTTCGTTGTCGCTATTAATCACCGCAGTGATTTTCCCGCGCATTTTACACGTCACTGTTTCAACTTCACTTCAATTTCGTGTTCGGATTTACAGTATTACGCCATTTGTGGCCTTGTAGTGATTGGCTCCCTCGATTTTTCCCGCTCTTTTCACTGTTTGCCTCTTTTAGTTTATTTCAAGTTGTAACTGGTTAAGTTACATTTTTACTTCAGTAAAGATTGGCTTGCACACGATTGTTTTACGCGTTCTACTGGCTTCCCTCTTTTTTCTTTTAATTCGAATTGGTCAAAGCACTTTTCATCGCCTTAGTGTCACCTAAGGGTACATTATGACCACGGTTGACCGATAATTGGCCTAATATACTGTAACTATGATATATTTTTTTCTGGTTTTCAGTGTGCTTATTATTGATGAGGCCCATGAGCGAACACTCCACACTGATGTGTTATTTGGCTTGGTGAAGGACATTGCTCGTTTCAGAACAGATCTTAAACTGCTCATATCCAGTGCAACTTTGGATGCCGACAAGTTCTCAAAGGTATTAACGAAATGTTTAGACAGCAATTTCTAAAGTGGAACAGTTCAAGAACACAGACTAAGCAGAGCTACCACTGATTCTGTTATAACGAGTATATGACTTATATATGCTTCTTATTCTCCGAGTTCCTTCTACGCCGGGAATTATTTCTTGGTGAAGTCTCCCTTCTCCATTGTGAAGTTTCAATTGTATCTTAGAATAGGAGGCTAACTTAAGAAGTTGACGCTGTGGTTTCAACATCGGGTAAGTAATAAAATGAAACTTGCGAAACGAAACCGCACTTTCGAAGCCCATACTGCATTTAGACTTCATTAGTGCAATCCATTAGAACCCTGCGTCCATGTAGTGGCATTACCTACAAGGTATTAATAGGGCCATTTATACGAGGAAAATAAGCCGCGGCTTACACAAGCTGAGGCTTACACGAGACGCGAACTTACCGTATAAACGGTACATTTTAACCAGTTCAAGTCTTACTCAAGCCGCGGATAACATAAGCCTGGGCTCGTGTAAGACGAGGATTAAATAAGCCGCGAAACCAGTCGTATAAATGGTATCGCGGCCTGTTTGCGGCTTACGTAAGACGCGAACTCACATTGCGCAAGCGCAAGTTTTTCCCGCGCTCGCGCGACAGCTCGCGCAATTCCGCGATTGCTATTGCAACCAACACAAGAGCGAGGCATTCACGAACAAGCTGTGAACCATTTATACGTATGGGTTATTGACCAAGCTTGTTCGGTCAAGATGGCTGGATATTGGCCAAGTTCTTTTTTTGCGTGTTTATGGACCGAGACGGAGTCGAGGTCCATAAACTCGCAAGAAAAGAACGAGGCCAATATCCAGCCATCTTGCGCTTGGTCAATAAAGGATTTATTACGGTGGTACCCCGTTAATACGACCACCTTCGGGCCATGGAAAATTGGTCGTATTAACGGGGTGGTCGTATTAAAGGGGTTCCTTAAATAGGAAAATGACTGACTGAGCTAGCCTTTTTTCGGGCCAGAATAAAGTGGCCGTAATAACGAGGTGGTCGTATTAATGGGGTGGTCGTGAGGGAGGGTTTCACTGTATATGGCTTTCGGGGAAATTTTTCTTGCGGGACACGGCGGGTAGTCCCGGGCGGGCAAGATAGCTCCATCTTGCCCGCTCACCAAGCTAGCCATGTAATAAGAGTACTTCGCGTCTCATATAAGCCGTGCTCGTACAAATGGTCCAGTTCGCATCTTATGGAAGCCGTGGCCTGTGTAAGCCGCGGCTTATTTTTCTCGTATTAATGACCCTAATATTGACATATTCATAATTACTTTTTTGTTTTACCTTGATATTTACCTTTTTTTGTTCTTCTAGTTCTTTGATGATGCACCCATCTTTAGAATCCCTGGTCGACGTTTTCCTGTGAATATTTATTACACAAAGGTAAGTGGATAGCTTTGTGCACTGTTTAATTTTTTGATGTTGTTAACTGTTACTGAGGAAACTTAACTTAAGTCAATAAAATTTTAATTCTTCACGGAAATGTCTGCTTGTGTGAAGTCCTCAAATTTCATTTTCAGATCGCTTCAGCTTCGCGCCTTTAATTTTTGTTGTTGTTGTTGCAGTGGTTTGTGTTGAACATGTAATTTTTTGAAACTGTCCAAAAAGTAGAGATGAACGTATTTAATTTTTGTGGCGGGTTACAATGGAAGGACAGGTAAGTGTGAAGAGGTTGTCAAGATTGAGAATCACGTGAGAGGCTTTCACCATAAATGAACGCAAATGAACTAAAGTTAACTGATGTATTATCACTTTTATAAAAGAGCAGCGCTTCTGCAGATAACTGGCTTTCACTATGTTCACGAGTAGAGGGTTTCCTGATGGCTGATGTAAAACCGAAACCATTGTAGCCGCACGCGGCTAATCGCAACAAGTAGATTATAACGCCATGAAGCAAAACTGGGTAACCAGTGGTAAGCTGGGAAAACATGAAACGATTGGCAAACGCGGGAAAATCTGCGGCCGGTGCCAAGCGCGGGAAAATACGCGCGAGGCATGTCGCGAGTGTTGTTGGGTTTACTCGATTGGCTGGAAAGGAAAACAAAATGCTAGCAATTAATACTGTTGCCATGAAGCCAATTAACAACCATCTTTGTAGGAGTAAGTTTGAAGTGGGAGTAAAATTCACTGTTTTAATTCAACTTTCCCCAGGCCCCTGAAGCTGATTATCTGGAAGCTGCCGTTGTGACTGTGTTACAGATTCATGTGACTCAGCCTCCGGGCGACATCCTGGTATTTTTAACCGGTCAAGAAGAGATCGAGGCATCACAGGAACTACTGCAAGAGAGGACGCGTAAACTGGGCTCTAAGATCAACGAACTTATGATTCTGCCCATTTACGCCAACCTTCCATCGGATTTACAGGCCAAGATATTTGAACCCACCCCTCCTGGAGCAAGAAAGGTAGTGTAAACGCATCGTATGAGAATTTCTGTGTCAAAATAACAATTATACTGTGGCTACTTCAACTACCGACACCCCTTAAAATTGAGTGCAAATTAAACGAATGAAAATCTTGGATGTTAACAATTTCCCTTTTAAGCGAAAAGTGCATTTCATGGTAGAAACAGTAATTTTGCAACCATTTGATATTTATTTACATCATTTGCTTGACTATTGTCTCTTAGTCTAATCATTTTGTGACATTTTTTCCCCTTTGGCATTTTTCCTACCATGGCGAGTGACCGACTGACTGTTTTGCGAGTCGAAGATTATAGCTAGATACGCGCTTGTCTGCACTGCAGGCAAAGGCCTGCACCAGTTAGAAAGAATTTTCTATTTTCGTCCTGCAAGACTTTTTCGTCTTTGGGACAGTTTGGTCACTTGTGTACATATTTTTGCCTGGCAGGTTGTCCTGGCAACAAATATTGCGGAGACATCTCTGACGATAGACGGCATCATTTACGTCATAGATCCTGGATTTTGTAAACAAAAGAGTTACAACCCTCGAACAGGAATGGAGTCTCTTATCGTCACACCCATATCAAAAGTGAGTCATTTGAAAAAGATCTGAATTCTGAATATTGTAACCTGATGTCAGGCTTTTGATAGAGAAGGAAAGTGGTGGAAAACGGGCAATCTCTTTTCACTCATCACGTGCACAATTCCCTTCTTTGGTACCAGTATCGTGAGGTATAATACCTTTAAGGGGATATCTGATACGTGGACTTCGCTCCAGTTAAAGTACTTGAAAAATCCACGTTAAAACCACGCAAAGCTATAGCAGTGGATTCCTTTTGATTCTGTTACTTAGCGTGCTCTCCCGGTGTATGACGTGGCGTGTGAATTGCTTACGCAGAAAGGATGCAAACAAACAGTTTGCGCGAACGTCTTCAGCGGTTCTGGCTTCCGTTGGTAGAATCTTACAAGGCTTGGTGTTAAAGCATCTAATTAAAATTAATGTTTTGCCTTTTTAGGCCTCAGCCAATCAGCGGGCAGGGCGTGCAGGTCGCGTGGCAGCAGGCAAGTGTTTTCGAATGTACACAGCCTGGGCATACAAGAACGAGTTGGAGGAGAACACCATTCCTGAGGTAACTACGGTTTACACCTGTAACCCTGCGCTAATGCTGCTTTGATTGTTTAAATTAACTGGCACGGAATGAGAAAACTAACCAAGACACTCTCAACTGCCTCTCTTAGACTCCGCCCAAGTGATCAGTGACTTAGTACTGAGGAAGGGCTAGGCCCGAAACGTCTGCTATAAACATCGTTTTTAATTTAGCACTGCATTATTACTATTTACAACTTTTGAACTGTTAACTGTGCCACGCAGCAACTGATCCTCTTGGATTACAAATATGTTTTTTGATCAGTGACTTTGACGAAGAGAAAGTGGAAAGGATCACTCCTAGCCATAGTTGGCTTGATGGCTCAGAAACGTGAATTCCGGCTACAACCTAAAACAGAAAAAGAAAAAAAATCGTTGGTCTAAGCTAAACTTTCATCGTGATTGCCTTTCTCTTTTCGTCCTTAGTTGTTAGCCCTCAAGGGTTATACATGTATTGTATTTATTGTTATAACACTTGTACAGATCCAGAGAACGAATTTGGGCAATGTGGTGCTTCTCCTAAAGAGCTTGGGCATCAACGATTTGATTCATTTTGATTTTATGGACCCCCCTCCAGCAGAAACTCTGATCATTGCACTTGAACAGCTTTACGCTTTAGGAGGTCTAAATCATCATGGAGAGCTCACCAAGGTATGGGAAAATATGTGTTTTAATGACACTCACAGTTTAAAAGCTGCCGTGGCGTAATGTTTCGTGAGCTAAAGGACTCCAGAACTGGGTTGTTCAAAGGGTGGATAACGCTATCCACCGGATAAATCACTATCCAGCGGATAGTGCGGTTTCTTTTTGTTAACATTTATCCACTGGATAGCGGTTTTTTCAGTGGTTTGCGCTATCGAGCCTTCGAGCAACAGGGGCTAGTTAGTGTTTTTTGGGGATTTGAGCCCTGGCCAGGTCATTGTGTTGTGTTCTTGGGCAAGACACTTTACCCTCACAGTGCATCTCACCATTAAGGACTGTGAATGGGTTCTAGTGAATCTAATGCCAAGAGATCGATGGAACTGCGGAGGACTAGCATTCTACCTAGAGGGGAGTGAAAATATTCTAAGTCAATTACGACCAGCACTCACTCCCTCTTATGGCTCGTCTCTCTGTTGTTAAACTTAACTCAAGTTACGTTGTATTTAGGATAGTTTTAAGGCCCTGTCATTTGTTCTGAAAATCTTACCTGGTTGTGGGGGACGTAACTGTTTTTTGATGTTGTTGAACAGTGTCAATCAAATTACACTGACTGAAGTTTGTTATTTTTCCAGCTTGGACGTCGCATGGCAGAATTTCCAGTTGAACCGACCATGTCAAAAATGTTGATTGCATCGGAAAAGTACGTGTAACGATTTTTTGATTTGATCGAATTTCATTCTTTGTTGTAGCTCGACTAATATAAGACGTGCAGGTTCTTTTGTCTGTTATCAAGGTAAAGTATAATCATGGCATTTGTACAGCCTGGGAAGCGTTCGATATCTGTTTTCAAACTGAATATTTAATTTGCGCATTCCACTAGCTGAGAAAGAAGAAAAACATTCAGAGGCCAAAAAAGGAATAAGAAATTGTAGAGAGCTTGAAGAAATATTCAACCTTTGAACTCGTTTCGTCCCAGTTGTGTGTGCGGTTTCCTCTTTGACAGGTTTAGGAATGCTCAACTGGAAAGACGCTTATTCATTATCTATTAATTGATTAATTCATTTTTTTGTGTAGGATTTCCCACACTTTGTCAACGCTAGGGATATTTATTTATTTGTTTGTCCACGAGAGCAAAGCGTTTGTCACGTGGTTTCTACTTGGCGTGTAGACTGGGTTCCACCAGCAAAAGGTTGAGTGTTTTTGAGCGGCGGCCATTAGATGTGTAATTACTCTTACCGGGTGTTGTTTTTTGGCGAATTTTGACTTGTTTTTGAGATTCGGAGGGAGTCGTCGGCCTCAGGTCTTAGTGTTTTTCAGACACGCGCTGCCGTATTTATTTTTGACGTGCCATTTATTATAAGATGGGTAAACATTTGCTTTCTGTATATGCGCGAAATTCTTGGATGAATAAGGAACAATCAGTCAATCATACAACAATCATACAAAGCTCCAGTTCTCGGACAAATCTTTCTGCGATTACATATTTAAATTATGTCACATTGAAATTCCTTTGATCAGCTGAAAATCCCGACAATTTCTGCGGAAAATGAATTCTAGTAAACATTGTGCATGTCGCGACGCGCAGTCTGCAACTGTCGGAATAAAATTTACACTTGATTGATTTCATTACTTTCAACTCCCGTCTATTGCTAAAATCATCATATTTATAGCAACAACCGAAGTGTTACGGACAGATGTAAAATAATGACAAAGCCCAGCATTTTCCTGTATATTTATGGTTAGCAAGTTGAGGTCCTCTCGACTGATAAACCATGATTTCTTGATACGTTGCCTGACAGTGCAGTTTCCGTAGACTCACAAGTTTAAAAGGACTAAATATTTTAATTTGCCTTCAAACTTCACGCTAAACATTTTCACATTTACTGGTCATGTTTAAGCGCAAAAGCTAATTTCTAAAAGTAAAATTTACATACAGTTTTCTCAGTTGGAAGCACGAATATTAGCTGACATTTGCAATCGGAGCTGATTTATTGTGAACAAACTCCGTGCAACCAGCGACCGATTCTGATATTTCCGCTGAGGAATAAAAGTAGACAACATTTCTATTGCCGTTCCTTGGTTCAGGCTAACTCTTATGGCCTTAGAGTACTTTTCCGAACAATTTCGACTGGATACAGTCTGAATTTTTCATGAAGGGGTGGGGGTAGGGGGGCGGGGGAGCATCTGCGTAAGAGCTAAGGCTAACTAATCTATTTGTCTCCACTGGGACTAATCAACAAATCCAGGACAAATGTAGCTAATAAAATAAAGCTGTTCCCACAGTAAACATCCCCTAGCCAACGCGATTCAAAAGTTGTGTTCGGGAACATTAATTGTCCCAGTTATATAGCAGGTCATCTGGCATCCCGACGAAACAGGCCACGTTATTTTTGATTGCACGGTCCAAATTCACGACCAAAAACTAAACCGTCTCGTGTGCACTTGCTTTTCGATGATGTCATTTTTTTTCGCCCCTGCTGCGAAAAACAAGCCTAACCTGCAAAATGTGTTTACTTCAATGACTCTTTCAATGAACCCCTCCTCCCTTGAATTTTTTTTGTTTTTTGTTTTTGTTTTTTGCTGGGTTTTAGTATACATTGTGAAACAACGGTTACACGGGATTTTGCCAAGGTAACAAAAATGGCACATGGAGGAAAAACATTTTTCCTTTTCGGTTACATATTAATGACAAGCAGAGAAACGTGATTTGCTCGTAATACCTTAGACATCAAAACACCAATGCAACTGACCACATTAAATGTCAAGGGCTCTGCATGTGATCTTTTTTATGTATCCATGGGTATTAACTACGGGAAATTTACCTCCGGAAATATTGGTCATACTCACTGGTAAAAGGATCATTTACCACGGTAAAGAGTTCCGTGTAACTAATCCTTAAGGGAGTGAATTTCCTGGAAACTAAAGTCCAAACATGTTTCTCCTGTAACCGTTTTTTCATCTGCAACCTGGATCTTATAATCAGGACTCTACGGTATCTTTACTCGACGTTCATCACTACAACACGACAAAATGTATAAATATTCACTGTAAAGCTACAATTTCTCTG